AGCAGTTCACATGCGTGTATAAAGCAGCCATATGCCGATGTAGCTACACACGGCAACGCTAGTATACATGGATAGCGCATGTAGCTGCATGCGCTAGTGCGTGTATGTACGGCCGATGTGCGGATGTAGCTTCATATGCGAGTGCACAGGTCTCCTATTATTTGCGGTTGCTATGTATTAGCAGTTCACAAATGACAGGCTTGGAAGTATGGCGAAGGCCGTACGGCCGGTGCCGCCGACCCTGAAGGGGGACGACGACGACGACGGCGATGACGGCGACGGCGACGACGACGACGACGGCGGCGACGACGACGACGACGACGACGACGACGACGACGACCCTGACGTGGATCAGAGTCCTCAGGGATTCTGTTTTGGGTCTCTTCGGAGCGCTCTCGGAGGCCTCTTGGGGGCGGTATTGGAGCCCCTGGGAGCATCCTGGAGGCCTCTTGGGAGCCTCTTGGGAGCCTCTTGGGGCTTCCTGGGGGCCTCTTGGGGGCCTCTTGGAGCCTCCTGGGGGCCTCTTGGGGGCCTTTTGGGGCTTCCTGGGGGCCTCTTGGGGGCCTCTTGGAGCCTTCTGGGGGCCTCTTGGGGGCCTCCTGGGAGCCTCTTGGGAGCCTCTCGGGGCCGAGGGCTCAAAATGTCCGTTTGGTTTCCCTGTCTGGGCACCCTCTTGGAGCCCTCTTGGGGGCCTCTTGGGCAGTCTTGTAGGCGTCTTGGGCCGTCTTCGGGCCCTCTTGGAGGCCTCTTGGGGCGATCGTTGTAGCCTTTTAGGCCGTTTTGGAGCGTCGGGAAGCTGAGAAGGCAGCTCTCTTGGGAGTATTTTTCGAGGCCTCTTGGGGCGTATTCTAGCATTCTTGGGTCGTTTGGAGGCCGTAAGACGTCTTGGACCGATCGTTCCGCGATTCGGGGTCCTCTTGGACCGTCTTGGGGGCCTCTTGGGGCACTCTTGGCTCGTTTTGGGTCTTGGGACCTTTTTGGGCCCTGGACCCACCCAGGGAGGGTTTGTATTCTGACCTGGGACCCCCCGGGAACCCCCCCAGGACCACCCCCCGCGACCCCCCCCCCGAGACCCTCCCCCGAGACTATCCCCCGGGACCCCCCCCCGCTGGCAGGGAAGGGATCAAAGGGAAGGGGCTTCCCTTCGACTCAATTACGACGTTGCTCGATTTCGTTTTGGCTGGCGCGCTTGAGGAGGAGGGCCCAGGAAAAGGGGAGAGCCGCGACGGGCCCAGGGAAAGAGAGGGAGCGGCGACGGCGACGACAACGACGACGACGTCGACGGAGACGAGGCAAACGTAACAGCGCTTTCCACACGCCGACAGGGGCGGCGGATTTCTCCCAACGCTACACCGACACCCGAATGACAAATGAAGGCTGCTGCGCCCCACCTCGTCCGCATCAGCGGACGCGCGGGCCAAACGCCCCCCTTCCCTAACAGTCTGAACGCGCTTCTGCCTGCGGGCGGGGGGGCCCTAGGGTGATCCACTCCTTTACCTCGAGCCTTATAGGAGAGTGGGCGGAGCCTGGTCTGGGCGATTCTGCTCAGCTCCTCAGGAACTGCCGGGCTCGTCCCCCAGTTTGGCCCGCTCTGGCTTGGCCTGGCCTGGATCCGCCGCGCGCGCCCCGTGCGAGGCAGCCCTGGAATCGGACTGGTTTGTGCCCTGGTGTTCGCTTGGTTTGGGCGCGGTTTGGCTTGAGTGGTGTGCCGAAGTGTGCGCGGGCACTGCGGCCAGAGACGTCCTCCCAGACAGGACCGTGTCGTTCAAACATCAGAACGGGAGGCATTTGGCCAATGTCGGCCTGGGGGGTCCTTCGCCGGGCCTCGGGGCCGTCAACACACGACTCAGGATGAAAAACCGGTGCCGGGGAAAGGGTCGGGATCTCCAGGGACCCCGTATTTTAAAACATCAAGATGTCGCATGTCTGTGGCAGGCACATGGGCCAGCGACGGCCTCAGAGTTTGCCCGGTTAGGCCCCGGTTGGGCACTGGTTCCGCCTGTCGGGGGCGGCGAAGAGGGGGGTGATGACTAGGGAGGGTGGATATTATCATGGCGGGGGCCATGATATTTCTCCAGATTTCATGGCGCCTCTTCTTATTTCGTTACGCCCCTGGCCCCCCCGCTGGGCCACGCACATGCCGCCAGCCATGATTTGCACCCCCCCCCTCTTGGACACCCCCCTCTTGGCCGCTCCCAAGCCTGGCCCCCCTCATGAGTTGCATGGTCTTGTCGTGGCTTGGCCTGGCGTGCGAGCCCAGTTCCGCTGGAGGCGTTCGCACAGTTTGCCTGGTGTGGCCCCGGTTCGGCATGGCTTCGGCACCGTGCCGCTCGAGGCGTCCTCACACTTTTGCGGTGGTCGTTCGACTTGGCATACTCGCAATTCGTCTTGGCCACCTTTTTTGCGACGCTGGGCGGATAACCGCATGCCGATGATAATAAAGGGACCCCCCCCTTCAGTGTTTAGAGTTGATTATCGTCGCCCTATACAAAATTCAAATTGGGCGGCGAGCGCTGAGGCCGAACTTCATTATCACCTCGAAACGCTATGTTGAGATAGCAACGCTATCTTCTCCTCTTCTTCTTCTTCTTCTCTTCTTATCCTCCTATTCTTCTTCTACTTTCCTCTTCTTCTTTTATATTTCTATATCTCCCCACGCTCGCCTGAACTTGATTATCCCTGGGGTTGATTATCCAGGAAAAGTGAGGCACATGAGCTACCCTACACGAGCACTTAAAAACATCAATTTCCACAAAGCGTTTGTACATAAAATCTAATACATTCGAAACTTGTTTTTTTTTATAGTTTTGTTATCTTCTTCTCTTCTTATTCTTCTCTTCTTCTTCCTTCTTCTTCTTTCCTTCTCATCTTATTATTATTCTACTCTCCTGTTCTTCTTTTATATGTATATCTCTCCCCACGCTCGCCTGAACTTGATTATCCCTGGGGTTGAGTATCCAGGGAAAGTGAGGCACATGAGCTACCCTACACGAGCACTTAAACACATAAATTTTCACAAAGCGTTTGTAAACAAAATCTAATACATTCGAAACTGTTTTGTTTTATTTGTTGTTCTCTTCTTCTCTTCTTCTTCTCTTATTCTTCCTGCTTCTTCTTCTCTTCTTCTCCTCGTATTATTCTTCTACTCTCCTCTTCTTCTTGATCACCTCTTGTCTCAAAACGTGCTCGGCTTGGTCTCCTCTTGATCATCTCTTACTTCGAGATTATACTGAGGTCTGCTGGGCTACTTTTATTATCTCTCCCTGAACCCCGAACTTTATTATCCCCTAGTGTTTATTCTCACGGGCATGAGGTTAATAATGGCAGGCCGTGGTGGGAGGGTGAAAAACCGAAGTAATGGCATTGTGCGCCATGGAGGCCCACCTGTGGTTCACACATAGCACGACTGCGCTACAAAACGACGGGGGGTTGGGCGTGGACACTCCCAACACGCTGTCAGTCGGCATGTGCACGTGTGGCCGCGTTCGGAGGACTTTTTCCCGAGCTTATAAGGCCCAGAAGTTTTCCTCCTAACGCCACATCAAGGCCCCAACAACACTCGAATGACAAATGAAGGCTTCTGCGCCCAAGCGCCCCCCTCCCT